AGGTCGAAACTGCAGTCCACTCCAGCCGGGATGAGAACAACTTTTGGGAAAGCAAGGCTATGTGAAATGCGATGGCAACGTCAGCTCAACTCATACTATTATGGGAAAATTCTTCTTCAACCAGTCCTTCATCACCTTAAACGAAATTGGGTGAATACATTTTATATAAAAAAAATACAATTCATTTGGACCACGGGCTATCGTGGCTACATAATATGACGATTGCACCATCATCCTATTAGTTTTCAGCCCATCACAGGGCTTCAGTCAGTATTTTTATGCGGACTTTGTTGGCATTTTGCTGGAGACCTCTGGCAGTGTTAGCTGGCACAGTTGATGAAGTTCGTATTAAGTATCATTAGTTAAATTTTCTTTCAACGATATGAGTAAGCCTGATAATGCCATTTAGAAACGCATTATCAAGATATGATAATACCATTACCAGGTCAAGCTTAGTCATGTCATTTTGGGAAAATTACTTGATCACCTTAGGCCAGTGATTCCCAAACTTTTTCAATTAAAATCTTTTCATGGCGCCGTACCCTAAGTATGACTATTCGTAATTAAGAGATAAAAATAAATAGAACTCGTGTATCTTCATTATTTTTTTAATTTATTAACATTAAATTAATATTTTATAATTAATGTGATGCATGAACCTGTAACTAACTGCACATTTTCTCAAATTTATGCTTTTACAATATTTCGCGGCGCCCCTGTAAAGAGGCAGCGGAAGACAGTTTGGGAATCCCTGCCTTAGACTACAGTTGATTGAAGCCTGACAACTAAATTTTTACAGCTTTGATGCCATTATTACTTCTTACTCTTTACTTCCCATTAACGCAGGTGTGATTCGAGTCTATGACCTCGCCAATAAAGAGGTGGTACAACAGCGCAAGTTTCCAGGTGGTGGGACAAAAATACTTTGGTGCCCATTGTGTGTAAGTATGGATAATCTCTATTTCGCTTTATTTAAGTTGTACGCCCTTTTTCTTTCAGCCTTATCTGAGTAAAATGGGTAATCTCATAAACTTGAAAGGATATCGTATATAAACCTCTTTTTATGCCCCTATACCAAATGTTTTCAGTAATATGAGATGTATTCACCCAATTTCGTTTAAGGTGATGTCAAGTGATCCATTGTGATTGCGCTTTCACACTTTCTTTACACGAGATGAATACATGCTTTATGCATTCATTCTCCTCATTTTCTGCCCATTATTGCCAATTCTATCGATTGCTTTTATCTACAAAGCCTGTACAAGTTTACCGTTCATAATATTTCATTAAAATATCATTATTCACTTTTTATAGACACGATGCTGTCCAATTTTAACACAAAGTTATTTTGTCATGGCCAATAAGGCTTGTGAAAAAAGTCTTTTCTGGACCGTCAGACTTAGTTTCACCGCCTTTTCACAACTTGGCTGCATTTTCAACTAGAACTCGAATGCTTTACTTTGTGCCGAGCAATTTGTTCGTATTTGTAATGCTAAGTACGGCTTTGCTCATCAGCGCTGCCGACTACGATTCCCACAAAATGTGTGGAAATTTGCATGTTCAACAACGCCGTACCGGAAGAACACATGTCACAAACGGATTTAGTCCTATCAATTTCCGGTGAAAACACAAACAAGGTGCGCAAAAGAGATGAAATCAAATCTATTCAGAGAAAGACGAGTGCAATTAAACTCTGGTACCAAACCATAGTCAAATTTTCCTTTAGATGCTGAGATAAGAAGACTAAAACTTTATATCTCGTTTTGAGTAGACTTTCAGAGTATTAGTCTATTTCGTTTAAGTTAATGAAAAACTGGTAGTCCAATTTTCCCATAATCATATGAGTTGAGCTGATGTTTCCAATGCATTTCATATAGCCTTGCTTCCAAAAAGGTGTTCTTATCTCAGCTGAAGTGGACTGCAGTTTTAACCTCGCCTAGGTCTTATCAACACCATTAACGGGACTCGAGCCATTACAATGTAGCGTATTCTCTCGACACGTTAAACCCTCCGCCGCATTAATACCAGTACTCTTGGGTCACAGGGCAGATGGGAATTTCAAGAAAGGCTAGGCATTTTCCCACATCACATGCTTTGGTTGTCTTTGAATTGTCAATTAGCCAGTGCTGCAGCCAATGAGCTGATCATTTCGAAGGGTACCAACTCCTTTTCACTGAATTCACGAAAAGAATACCGATTAGCCAGTATTGTTTTCCTGGCCTGCCTGCTAGCCCGGATTGGAGGACAATCATTGTTGAGAAGACTTTCATTTCGTATGAAAGTGCATGAAGAAGAGATTCGAAAGTTGATCTCACCAGAAGATGACGTCTGAATCCCGTTGTACTGTCGCCATTTGGCTTTCATACGACGTCCAATTTGACGCAGTATACGAGACCTCTTTCCTCGTTTTAGATAAAGACGGGCTGTCGCATGATGGATAAGAGCTAAACCTCTTCGCTCTTATCCTGATTCGATACTGGATCTTGCTTCAGGATGTGACTTTAAGATTGTTTTTTGCTCTCTATCCCCTTAATTTTGCCCTTGACACATGTTATTGGTTGTTGCTCTTCTTTAACATACTTTTGTTTCTTAGCAATTTCATTTATTTCATTATGAAGACTTTTACAATAGCGACAGTCAATTTCTATTTTCGTAATGTCCATTATTATTTGAGTGGCCTCGTGTTCAAATTTTGATTATATTATGCATTTATTTTAATTACATTGATCATGATGAATTTATAGAATAATATATGCTGTTGAACTTAAATTTAATCTTCATTCGATGGACATCATCAAAGCTGTAACTCATTCTTGTAAAAGGAAAACTATCCGACCCTATCTTACCTCTTATATAAACTGGATTGAGTAAAATAAAATTTACAGGCCTCGATATATGTAGACTGATTTGGCCAATTGTCTTTCATATTGGCCCTGCTAATTTTGTTCGAATGTCTGTGTATGTGCATGTGTGTATGTCTATACCTGATACCGGTTATAAATCAGAGTGATCAAAATCAGGCTCTGGTCGTCAAGGCTTAATAACCCAAAAAAAGCCATGACCGAGTCTGCATACAACGGGATTCAGCCGTCCTCTTTTGGTGAGTTTGCCCTTCGAATCTGATCTTATTGTACTTTCATACGAAATGAAGATCTCTCCAATTGTGTTATCTCAGGAGATTCATCGAAACCCAGTTACTCTTCGTGTCTATAAAACAACCAGCCCAGTCTTTCGTTGGCTTCAGAATCTTCGACAGCCAGGCTCTACTTAAGGCTGTTGTAAGAGGATAATCTTCAAGATGTCAAATGTGCTCAACTTTTATTATTGACTCTGGCCTCGGATGCACAGCCTCGTTTATTGTGCTGAGGTTAATGCGAGTCTTTCCAGTTTCTGTATGACCTTCCATCCGCAAAGCATACCTTTTCTCACGTCTTACTTTTTCCTTAGGTTGACCCCAAAGGCAAAACACTGATTGCCGGTTTTAGTGATGGCCTCATCCGACTGATCCTTTTCTCGGAGAATCCAGAGTCCGACCCCACGCGGAAGGCGAAACAGCCCGCTTTGCTTGCGCTGGCGCAGGCCATCAAGCCACACTCTAAGCCAATCAGCAGCATGGCCTACGATGAACAGGGAGAGCTTTTTGCCACAGCGGTAGGTTGGCACCCAAAGCCACCAATTTTCCCTCTATTCACCAGCCTGGAGGCTTCCGATCAGAATCCCGGCACTGGTACAGTGTCTGCATTTTGTTAACCAGCCAGCCCCATAAATAAGGCTGGTGGTTAAAGTAAATGTATGTTATATGTATATCATAATGGTATAATATAGAATGAAATTTAATTTAACATAATAAAATACAATGATATAATAAATTAAATGTATATTATATATATATCATAATGGTATAATATAGAATGAAATTTAATTTAACATAATAAAACACAATG